TATATATATATATATATATATATATATATATATATATATATATATATATATATATATATATATATATATATATATATATATATATATATATATATATATATATATATATATATATAACGTTTCGGAAAATAATTTTCCATCGTCAGAGCCTAGAAAACAAAAAGTTTTAACAAGTTTTATAAATACAGGTGATATACAATAAAAACGTAAATCACTGTAGGTGCGCGTGATCCAAGTATATGCTGATAACCACAAGGAAACAAGAAAACAAGAAGTTCCCAAGCGCTTTCGTGTATTTCACAAATATTTATTTATTTTATTATTTTTTTTACGTGGATTAGCCCACCAGGGCACAGGTCACTGACCCACATCGGGGCCTGGGGAGCGAAAATGTAATAATTATTCATAGCAAATAAAATTTATACTAAAAAGTAAAATTAAATAATAATGATAACAATAATAATAATAATAACACTATGATAATAATATTAATAATAATAAAGAACTATGAAGAAAAAAATTCAATTGTGAGAAACGCTATACTGTATGTATATTGTATTGTCAAGTAAGAGAAACAATTCAGACCCTGCAATTATGTGTGAGGCAGAAAGTTAGATCAGCAACCAGGGACTTGGTCACAATTTTCGTGATGCCATATAGCAGCAGGGTCTACCATTAGACAACACATTATGCTTCCAATATCTTCTTAGGCGGTAGTACCTCCCTGTTTGGTAGCTGCCTACTACCTAACTTTTTTTTAAGGGAATTAGCCCACCCGGGCACAGGTCAAACAACCCACAACGGGGCCTGGGGGGGGGGGCGAAAAAATAAGAACAGAAAGAAATTGGATATAGAGAAGAAATAGGTTATACTGTGTTAATCTACACCACGAAGATGCCGGAACCAGCTTTTTGAAGTGAGACAGATTGTATAAGTACGGAAACACAGAAGAAGGCAGAGCATTCCACAGTTTGGCTGTGCAAGGAAAGAAGGAAGTACTATAACAGATTATTCTCGTGTGACCGACATCCACAGAGAAACGGTGGGCACCGCGGGCAAGACGTGTTACAAACCCACGGCCTTCCCTTTGGCACACAGGATGCCAAATCCATCGAACATTGCCCGTTAATGTACCTGTAAAAGAGAGAGAGTGAAGCAACATTACGGCGAATAGAAAGGGAAGAGAGATTGTCGACTAAAGGAGGAGAGTTAATAAAACAAAATGCCTTTGATTCCACCCTATCTAGCAGTTGGACAGAAGAGCCAACTACCTTATAATGCTGGATGAATAAATATATTTCAATTTGTTTGAAGATTTAATGAATTACTTACAACAAATACATAATATACGATAGTAGATAATATATAGGAACTTCTATCTTATCAGCCTTTGGCCCCTCACAAAGTTAATCCAGCCCTGATTACGACACTATCAAGGATCGTACAGTCTCTTATACGACGTCATGCAGGCGGGGCTCATCCTCTCGGCTCTCAGGTCCACATGAAGGTTCGTTTACTTCACAGTCACATTTATCCTGCCCATCTATGCTGCAACGTAAGGTAGTGTCTAAACCAGTGGAAATATTTTAAGGGAGTAATTTTGAAGATCTAGAATTCTAAGATCTGTCCTTTACTTTCCATTACTTTGGTGGTATGTTCTTAAGTGTATTGCGTTGAAAATCACGTACAGTATAAAAACATGAATGGATGGGATTAAAACTAGAAATGAGACATCTCCATAAAAGTGTTAGTTGGTGCAATACGTTACCGATCGCCCAAGCGGCTAACGAGCCGATGAGTGGTGAAGAGGATAAAAGTAAAGTAAAAAGGTAATACTGTGGGCTTTTGAGATATTGGTTCGCACTCAGGATGGGATGGAGAAAGGAAACTCACAGTGTGCCCTCTGTATACATATTATATTGGATGTACAATAAAGCTTGGTGGCTGGTGCTGGGAGGAGGCAGCGTGGTTACAAGTGTGAGTAGGGAGAGCTGGTTGGTGAGGGTGCTCAGAGGAGGCGTTGCTTGCTGCGGTTGTAGCTAGAAGAAGGGCAGGTCACGGCCAGGTGAGGTCTTATATAGCGGGGGTAGGGGTGACTTGATTGTAGACATCCGCTTTGTTCGGGGGCGCGCTGGTTACCTGACCTTGCCCACGAGGTGCAGGCTGGTGAATTCGCGAGGGGTCAGCTAGTCAGCGACACATGGCCTTTGTAGGGGAGGAATCCACTGCAATACTTTCACTCGGATTTCGGATTCATTAAATTGGGCGAACAGACTACACTATATAGGCGGGAAACTTGTTGATCATCTTACGGTGTTTTCATCAACAAATAATATCTTACGCCGTTGAATGAAAATTCATTAACAATCTGACACGGCATTTTTTATACAGGTGCAATTTTAATGCAATATGTACTAAAACTCAGTGAAACAGTGACGTCTGTACATGCTTAAGAGTGTTTTCAGGATAAAGTCTGCCTGGTACACATATATTGATATTTCATTTGATGCGTAATATGTTTATGTGTTAAATAATATTACGAAATACTGCAAAGAACAAGGTAATAAGTAGTCAAAATAAATTTTTAAGAAAATCTCAACTCTGGAAATAAGCACCTGACAGCTTTGTCGACTATCTTTGGCCAAGTTGTCTTTACCATTGTTGATACGGTGAATTCTATTTCTCACAATTTTTAAAATTTGATTAGAATAGTGTAATTATTAACCTTGTTGTGTGCTTAAACCTTCGTTGCTGAAGAGCTGTAATAACATTATAACAAGAAAAAAACATTGCTGTTTACCTGCACTGTTTCTGCACCCAAGAAATTATGCTTCCATGGCCTACGTGGAAGGTAAACGTTGGTTTGGAAATAGAGTAGTGGATGAGTGCAGGTTGGATTAACCATTAAGCAAAATAAGCACGTGCTTAGGGCACCAAAAGAAGGGGGCACCACAGGTTTTTCTTTTGAAGGTATTATGCCTTCTAGTGACCAGATCATATTTGCGATAAAACCTAATAGGCTAGTTTAAAACTGCCGTATAAAATTAGTGAAAATTTGTTATCCCATTTTGTTCGTTAACTATGTTTTGTAAGGGTTTAAAACCAAGAAAACTGTGCTCCTTTTTTTTTAAAGGACACGTTGCCTAATGGAAAACGGCTTTATTTTATACACGTTCAAGAACGTTCCTGAACGTCTGAAATTGTCTAAGTTCGTTCCCTCGCTTCTCAGGTTCTTGCAGTATCAACGAAATGTGTCTATTTTAACGTGTGGTATGAGGTGGATTGTGTGAAGTAACAAGTAAGTTTCTGAATTTCTCATTAATTAAATTACTTTATATTTACAAAATAAAGAGGTAGATATTTTAACTATATAAATATATTGTGTTACTAAATTAAGAGCAGTAACTCTAGGCCTAGTTGTTATAATAAATAAGGTTAAATCAAAACTGTCTAATTTAAGTAATTTTTATAATTATCAAATGTTGAAAAATTTCAACTCTTTGTTTTTATTTCTTAATTGTCTTTAACTGTATTTGTTCTGGTTCTAGTCTAACATCAGTGATGAGAAAATTGTAGGATCTGGCTTGTGGGGTGGCCTGGAAGAAACCTGAATTTTTTATCTTATATTTCAACATCAGTATTCATTGAGTCTTAATCATGGTCTTAATATCTTGTCAGTTAAGCAATGGGAGGGCCGAGGTGGCACCATTGTTGGGCTGTGCTTAGGGCATCAATTGGCCTTAATCCGGCCCTGGATGAGTGGAACAAGTTACCAAACATCATCATTAACTCGAATACGCTGGATGGCTTCAAACATAGGTTGGGTGGATAATTGAGCGATAGGGGTTGGGTGTAAACGGGACTGCCCAGAATGGGCCAAAAGGCCCGCTGCAGTTTCCTCCATTCTTATGTACAGTAAGTACGGTTAACGGTTAACAAATTTATTGACAAAGCTTGGAGTACAGTTTGTCTATTTTGAGAAATTCAGTCAGGTCTTGACAATGGGGGTGCTATTACTTCTCACTGCCGCGCAGGACAGAGATTCATTCACAAAACAAGTAAATCATATTCATTAACATTATATACTGTATAGGTCAGAGTCATGTGGGTGATTTCACTGTTCACTGCCACGCAGGACAGTAGTTCATATACATTAGGAGTCATTTTCTAATTGGGGATTAATCAGTGTGGACTGGCAAATTTTGGATAAACAACAAGAATGTCCTCAAGCACCCCTGATTCAATGTAATAATTACTAAGTTCATGATACAATAAGCCAGGTGGCCTCAAGTCTTTGACAGTGTCACATTCAATAATATAGTGTTCAAGTGTATGCTTTAAAGGTTACGTACGTGCACCTTAACTCCATTGTTTATATTCATGGTGAACTGAATAACTGTATACAATAGTTTATAAACATGTCTCCAATTGTAAACCTCCTCGACAATTTCACTGAATAATAATAATAATAATAATAATAATAAAATTATTATTATTATTGACGAAATATGCAACACTGAATGTTTTCTATAAGTACCGAGCTCCGAGTGTCATTATGAGATTGAGCTAAAGAAAAATGAAATGTTTTGTATAGTTTTAGACAAATGCTATTTATTCTACGTTATTTACAATTTATAAGTAGGATTCCGTAGTTGTATATTGTATTTGATGGTTTTAGCAATTTAAGATTATTATCTGGACATCTAGGTCTGCTTAATTAACATTTTACGTTTCTATTTAATTTTTTCAAATATATAATTAGTATAGAAATAAGCAGCATGATGAGGAAATGACATTACACGTCCACACATTAAAGCAATACTGTAACTGAATTCCAAGAGCAGCTTAACTGTTTTCCTTATGGCAACTTCCGGGTAAAGGTTCGAAGTGTGGTTTGTGTAGGTTGTGGTTTGTGTAGGTTGTGGTTTGTGTAGGTTGTAGTTTGTGTAGGTTGTAGCGAGACTCGAGCCAGGAGCACTGAGGCCGTGAAACGATACTAAGCCTTGTGGCCACGAGCGTCCTGCACCACCAAGGGAAACATAGAATGGCAGGCGGATGGAAGAGTGGTTTAAGTGTACAAGGAAAATCTCGTCCAACCAATGATAAAGGCCCTATGGTTGAATTAGAACATCAGTTTGGTGAGAAAAGGCATTATATAGGTGTTATCTTACGCTGTTATTGGCTTTACTTTGAGTATTAGTTGATGTATTACGCATATGAAAAAGGTAAACAAATGTAGGAAGTGAACTGGTATTTGGTCGACGTTACTCAAATTTTGTAATAAATTGTATGATTAGGCGTTGTAACTTACAGTATTTAATACCATATGTTTACATTTATCTAACTTTTTCATGCAAATGTCTTTAAGAATGGTTCCTCAAACTTCTCTTGGCCAAGGAACCCTGTAAGCCACATGTAATTATTATCAGGCATCCCAATCATCTCCACTTACTCTTTTCTCATTTCAAGCAAATTTACACATAAGAAAACAAGCCTTAAGTATTTTCGTTAAAGCCAAGCTCAAGTTAAAAGGGTTCCATATAACATTTAAGTAGTGGGTGGCCATTAGGAAAATAATGAAGGTAATTAAGGAATTATAAATGGTGAGCTTTTATTTGTTTTATTATAATTATCATTGTTATTATTGAATTTTGCAGAACCCTTGAAGGATACTCATGAAACCTTGTGTTCTGGTGTTGCATGCTGAGATTGTATCATGCTGAGAATGTTCTGGGCATGTGCAGTTCAATCAATACCTAACCTAAGCTAACCTTTATTCCGAGGGGTAATCTCAGAACACCTCAAGCCTTCAAAGAAGTTTTGATTTAATTGTGCATACCTAGAAATTTTTTCGCTTGGTACAGCACAATCTCAACATGCTACATCGGGGGGAACCACTGGTGTAGAATAACTCTAATGAACTTGATGATTATATACAGTATTTATATTTGAGATCTTTGCTTTGAAGTGTGAAGTGAAGGAAAAATGACTTAGAATTGAATTTGGAACTGCAAGTAGGTTGTGTTCTCTATATCTTTAGCAAACAAGCACAGACCGTTATTGAACTACTGGTATGTAAAATTGTGAGAAATTAATCACCAGACAATCTATACTCAGGTTTAGAAGTAATTAGTGGTGCATTCTTATAACATTCAGATGGGAACTAGTTGTTTAGGCCATCAGGGACTAACTTTCCAACGGCCAAAATGTCTTAAGGTCTAAACGCCGTATGGCCAAAATGAACAGTGTACGAATACTGTAAAAATAATAATAGTAGTAATAATCAGGATAAAGGTGGAGGAGACGGTTAGCACCAGAACGAGTTCGTATATTTCGTTCATATTTTGCACAGTTATACTTTGGATGATAATACAGTAAGTAATAAAACTGGTATGACAACTTTTTATTTCGATCATGAATATTGTAACCGCCCGATGAGCGACTGGGGGTAATGAGACCCTTGCACGTAGGACTCGATTGTTCTTTATTCGGTCAAAACCTGCAGAGTAAAAATTACATATGTTACATATGCGATAATTAATTCACTCGTACATTCCTTCACTATTAACAACTACATATGATATATTTGAGTAGAGTGGGGTGTTAAACCATATAAAAACTTAATTTCGGGTCTCATGTAGGACTTATGAGCTCCCTGACTTGTTAGCTCACTGGACGGCTAGAGACTATCTTCTGAACTCACAGGGAGCGAGTTAGTCAGCCCCGAGGCGAGGGCCATCTGTTTCACATTTAACACCCTAGCAAGTTCATTGTAAACTCACTCTGTCTCTCTCCTGTCTCCCTTTCTCTCTCTCTTTCAGTTTATCCTGGTAAATGAGAATGCAATATAGTATATATATTTTTTTAATATTAATTATTTATTTTTTTGTCTCTTTGGCAGGAAAAAGTTCTTGCCTTTTGATTTTAGGACTGTGTGACTTGATTTCATTAGCTACACATTTAAGGGTTAAGATGTGACTCTGACAAATGGTAATAAATAAATAATAATAATTAACGGTTTATTGAAAGAGCTTGGCAGCCAGAAGGCTGAAAATATACAGTTACATATTTGGGGAATGGGTTTCGAATTACAAATAATATACAAGTAACATAAGTGATACAAATAAGATATATAATAACTAGATGGGGAAAAGCTCAAACTACAGTGCATTTCATCATAGTGACAGTGCAAGAAGTAGTATTTACTGGGAGTGAATACACTGGTTTATTACAAGTTATTGATAATTTTTACAATGGTTGGGACTGGGCTGTTCTTATAGCGATCAGTTCATGCACGTATGGGCTGGATGTGCGGTGTGGTGTCAACAGTACTTCTGCTAGGATCTCGGTGGTGTAGAGCCGGTCGTGAGATGTGAGTGAAGCTTCTTACCAAATTTGCAGATGAGGTCGTCGTGATGGTCAGTGAGAGTCGAAAGGGTCAGTATGTTGAGCGCTTCTTGATATGTGGAGTAGGAAGGGGAGAGAATAATCTTGCATGCCCTCTTTTGCACTTTTTCTAGGTGTTTACGTTGTGTGGCATTTAGGGAGGAAGACCAGGTAGGGGAAGCATAGGTGAGCTTGGGAAGTATGAATGTTGTGTAAACCGACTGTAAACCGACTGTATCCCTAAAGCTTTTAACCACTAATGTATCTCCCCTTTAATTATAAAAAATATTGTGCAGTACATTCTGTATTATAGGAAAATTAGTTTTGAATGTTACAAGGATTTTCAGGACAGAACCGTTGTCGTAAATGAGGGCTATCTCTGCTGTATTACCATTTCACGATCGTCCTTCCCATTGAGTGCATGGCAATTGGCTGGATGCAATATGGGTTTTTGTTTCTAATTTAATTACAGTAGGGCAGCTTGCATTTGTGGTGCATACAGCAAGTGTGACACACAAGACACATTGCCTTCTTTCTTAGATGGTGTGTTACAAAAAGGGATTTGTTTGTGACAGGAAGGTGTAAACATTTCATGAATTAGTTTCTGGTAACAATGTTTAATTTTTATTGGGTCATAACCTGTAAAATTGGTGTGCATAATAATCAAGTCACTTAAATGGAATTTCAGGACCAGTTCTTCTTTTTTATGCCACTTCATTTTAAATGTTTTTTTTTTCAGATGCATGAAGATGGAACCCCTGGCAGAAGCCTTTTTAGTAGTTGAAGGAGTTGTTGCACACATTTGTGAAAAGTTGGGCTCTGATGCACGGGAACATATGAACCCTGATCAACTGTTTGTTAGGGCAGAATATCACATAAAAAATGGTTTAAATGTTGATGATGCCATAAAAATGTTGGTGACAAGTGTGATATGGGAAGTTAAAGATAAATTTGACAAAAAGTTAAGGGATGTGAAGAAAATTAGGGATGAATTAGAAAGAGCCACGGCTGAAGTAATTATAGGGCAAATCAGGGGTGAGTTGGAGAGAGCTTCTGAACATTTGGTTAAAGATGTTGACCTTAATATTAATGTAAGATTGGGTTCTGAAGGCAGCAGTTCTCAATCTTTCTCCACCTCAGACGGTGCATCTGGAGAAAATAAAGTAAAACTTGGAATGGCATTCAGTGACTCCAGTGATTCTGCTTCTTCTTCTAGTGTGGATGACCCTCCATTACCCCTTGAATCTCCAGGTAGTGATACCACAGTGAATGATGAGGATAGTGAGATCCGTGTATTGACTCCAGAACCACGAAAACCTGCTCCACTAATAGAGCTTACAGATGATAGCTCAAATGGCAGTACATCATCGAAGAGCAGTATTTGTATTGTTGAAGAATGTGAAAAGACTAAAGATAAACCAATAAGCAATCTTGAGGAGGAAATTGACCTAGAAGATGCGGAGAAAATTGGTTTTACAAACAAAACTCTTGCAGATATTCTCAAAGAGGAGAGAATTTTGGCAAATGGTACTAATGGTGAACAAAGTGAACAAGAAGTAAAAATGCATGAAGTTTGTGATCTAAATAAAGGTGCTTCAAAACATTTGGAACCAATGAAAGCAGAAGTACCGGAAAATGATTGTGTGTTCAATGATATAGATCAAACCAACAGTGAAGAGCAAAGATATCAGTTACACATTGAGGAAAGGAAACAATCACCAGAGCACGAAGGCCCTGGGTCACCATCCTCAGCCACTCTGAATGAATTAAAAGCAAGCAGTTATGTTGATGAAAACAGAAATAAGAAAACAAATATCAATGGCCTAGCCAACTTCTTAACAGATAATAGAGCAGACCATAGTCACTCTACAGATGTGTTGTGGAAAGATGCTCAGTATGTATGTTCTCTTCTTCCGTATTTTCAACTAGCAGATGTTCACCAAAGCATGGTTGACAACTACTTCCATCCTGACCGCAAGGCGTATGTTTTAGAGGAATACATAAAATTAGCTGTTGATCGTGAGGAAGTTGTGTCAGATTGTGTATTTCAGAGTCTACGGGCTGTTAGGAAGAGAGCATACGTAGAAGTTGGCGGTGCACAAGCAGTGATGGGTGAGAAGAAAATAAAAGTGGAACACAACTCGGCAGACTTTATTGATAAAAAACTGTGGGATCCAGTGTTTGATGGTTCCCTTCCTTCTACAAGTGGTGCTAATAATCCAGTTGCCTTGGCAGTTGTAAGAGACAAAAATGAACAACATGGTGTATACATGCCTGATGTAAGGACTCAGAACAATGATTTTGAACCAGAGTTTAAAAAAAATGAACCCATGGAATTGAAAAATGACCGGGAGAAATGGTGTATAGAAAAGATGGAATTTGTTGCTGCTGTTATATGTGGGATTGATAAGGAAGTTTTACGAGAGCAGGTTGAATCATGCTATAGTGATGCTGATGTTGAACGATTAATAACAAGGTTGTTGGAAGAGCAAGAAAATAGTGAACCAGTCATAAAAGACCCTGAACCAGGAGTGGGTTATGTGAACCCTCTCTCTTTAGCACGGATTGAGCAGCCTAATACCAGTGCCTTTCAGCTTGTAGATAGAGCGCATGCCAGTGTATTTGAAGAGGGAAATTCAAATGATGGCAGCACACCTGGCAGCTCTAATGAAGGTCAGTCTGTGGCAGAAGGTGAGGATCAGGCTAAACTTGCCTCAGACTTGGAGGACACAATAATGAATCAGACAAAAACACTGTCAGAGATGTTTGGTGATGCAGATCCAGACTATTTACAAAAGAGGTAAGCAAGATTTTCATCCTAGTTCATGAATTAAAATTATCTTGATTTAAAATTTTTTTTTTGTGACTTAGTTCTACTTATCTACTAATTTTCATCTACCAACCTTTATTTTCATTTGTGTCTTTGACCTGTCTTGTTTTTGACCTTCATTAGATACCCTTCACTATTACAATACAGTACTAATATCCAATGAGGTTTTGTCGCATTTTATACTAACAGTTTTCCAATCCCATTCTTAGGTTTGTAAAGCTTGTAACAAGATACTGTACTGTATACAGAGGGTCCCTGGGTTACGAACGGGTTCTGTTCCCGAGGACGTTCTTAAGTTTGTACATAAGTCGAAACACATGCTCTGTGCATAATGTACTTGCAGAACAATGTTTAAAATCCCACTATATCATAGCCTAAGTCCTTAAATACATCTAAAAATCACTTAATTTAAGAGAAAAGAAGAAATAGAATGACAAAATACAGTAAATAAATAAATAAATCATCGGGGAAATAAAATAATGTTAATTTAACCTCGTTCGTATCGGCTGGTGTTCATAAATTGAACATTTGTTAGTTGGGGACCCCCTGTATTTTTCTATAAACATAATTGCAGAACCGGTATACAATATATCTGATTTCTATGGCAATGGATCCACTGTAACTGACAACACCATCTGTTTGTCAAATTTCCATCAGCAAGTCTTTGTACTGTACATTTAAGATTTTGCTCTTATTTCAGTAATGAGGATACAGTGACTAATAATTTTTGGAATTTAACATATAGCAATGGCTGTAGTTTGGAGAAGGGGAATACTGTAGTAAAGTATTTATAAAATTTGTGTGGAAACAGACTGTAAAACACTGGTAGTGATTATGATGATGTGTAGTGTGGTCAGTGTGGTGTAGTATGGCTGGTAAGGTGTTGTGTGGTCACTAGTGGTGTTGTATGGTGTGTATGGTGTTATGTGGTCCTGTGGTGTTGTGTGGTCACTAGTGGTGTAGTATGGCTGGTAAGGTGTTGTGTGGTCACTAGTGGTGTTGTATGGTGTGTATGGTGTTGTGTGGTCCTGTGGTGTTGTGTGGTCACTGTGGTGACGGTGGTGTTGTGTGGTCACTGTGGTGTTGTGTGGTCACTAGTGGTGTTGTATGGTCTGTATGGTGTTGTGTGGTCCTGTGGTGTTGTGTGGTCCTGTGGTGTTGTGTGGTCACTGTGGTGACGGTGGTGTTGTGTGGTCACTGTGGTGTTGTGTGGTCTGTATGGTGTTGTGTGGTCCTGTGGTGTGTGTGGTATGGTGTGGTATGGTGTTGTGTGGTCCTGTGGTGTTGTGTGGTCACTGTGGTGACGGTGGTGTTGTGTGGTCACTGTGGTGTTGTGTGGTCACTAGTGGTGTTGTATGGTGTTGTGTGGTCCTGTGGTGTTGTGTGGTCCTGTGGTGTAGTGTGGTCGCGGTGGTGTTGTGTGGTCACTGTGGTGTTGTGTGGTCATGGTGGTGTTGTGTGGCCTGTATGGTGTTGTGTGGTCATTGTGGTGTTGTGTGGTCACAGTGGTGTTGTGTGGCCTGTATGGTGTTGTGTGGTCTGTATGGTGTTGTGTGGTCCGTATGGTTTTGTTTGGTACTGGTTGTGTGTGGTCACTGGTGTTATGTGATCTGTATGGTGTTGTGTGGTCTGTATGGTGTGTGGTCTGTATGGTGTGTGGTCTGTATGGTGTGTGGTCTGTGTGACATTTATGTAGAAAGCACTTTTTTGTTAATAGTACTGTGATGCTAATACAGTATACAGTACTGTGTCTCTCTCTTGGTATTGTCACTTATTCAGGTTGGAAGCTGCCTGTTGTTATCTTGTAAGATTACCCAAGTATTTTCCTGTATTTTGAATGTATATTATTAGACAGTTCTTAGCAAGTGAATTGGTGAGACTTTTGACAGGTGTGCTGGTATCAATGGTGACCCAGCACAGTTCCAGATGTTGGTGGATGAACTCCTCAAAAACAAAGAATACCCCAAGATAGAGGAATACAACAAGCGAAAAAAACGTTTGGAAATTCGGAAGAAGTTCATTGAGGGCATGTCTGTTGAGGAGTTCCTGGAGTATTTTGAGGATCCCGAAAAGGTATATTGGTAAAGAAGCTTTAACTCGGGGAATGTGGCAACAAGTGTTTATTTAGCAATATACTTTATATTACCTGTTATTATTTTGTTTATATGTGGTGTACTGTAATATATTTTAGCTAAATAAAAATATGTTATTGAAGGATCACATTTTGTTGACAGATTTCTGAAAATGTTGTTAAAGCTTTCATGACTGCAGAAGCACTGTATACATACTACATACTTTTTCCAAAAGGACTGCAAAGTTGATGGAAGTATGCATGTACAGGTGCTTTTGTAATGTAAAGACAATGTGCTGTTCTGTATACATGACAAAGAAGTTTTTGTAACTTTTTTGTTTTCATAAATAACCAAGGACAGACTTTTTATTAATAACCAAGGACAGGCTTTTAATTTATTCTGACCTTTCATATGGAAATCACAATGTAAATCATGATAACACCATAGCACGGGTGTTGGCCTGGCTAGATAGAGTTTGTGCAAGTTCAGCTTGAGCCCATCAGGCCATCTTATGATATTGCAAAGCAGTGAAAATTCACAGCTTTTTCACATTCTTGGTTTCTTTGAAAATGGATTTTCCATATTGCATCTGTACTGTATTAAAGTTAAAGTGGCCAGATTTAAGATATTTTTAATGTTTGGAAGCATGTATACAGTACAGTGTATTTGATACACTATCTGAGTGAGATTTCCTTTTGTTGTCTGATAAATTATTAATGTATTGGTGATGGAAAGTCTTGCTTTCCTCAACCTAACACCGCTTTGTCTCCTATTTCATCATCATCAAATAGGCCAATTTATCTATCATGACCTGATTAGCACAGTTTTTAACCATTGCCATCCAGTTTAAAAACAACATTATTCAACAGGTATTTAACGACACGTCTAAACCAACGAGTACAACATACATGGAAAATGCTAAGGCGCAGCTGATGCTAGATTTAAGGTTCCATCTCAGCAGGGATATTGATACTGAACTCAGGAAACACAACTTTCATTATCTGCCCACACTGAGAGCATTGCAGGTGAAATATTGTGTTTAACTTTTGTTGGCAAGGATATGCCCTTACATGCATTTATTATAAATGATTACAGGTGCTCCTCTACTTAAGAACGTTCAATTTACAAACTTTCGGAGATATAAACATCATCACTGGGGGTTACCTGCCAGAACAGGTGTTTTAATGTGGATGAGACTGGATTATTTTGAAGAAAATTCCAGATAGAACAAACATTACCAAAGAGGAGATGAGTGAGTCTGTTTTAGCTGTGATATATCAAACTATCTCATTTGTTAACACTTGCCTGAATGAGTGTAGGTTAGTCGCTGGTACCTTTGATGCAGCTGAGTGAGATATCAGGTGATCTCACGGCATGTCACCTTTGATAGTCGTAGATTGGTTGATAGTTGAAATCATCACAGCTGTCCTGGGTTGTACTTGTAATTATCTTAGCTTGTAAGTCAAACAAGACACACAGGTAACGTTCTCTCCACTCGTTGTTCCTTGGTTTAATGTAAACACACGTGGTGATTTCCTAGTTATATTGGGTAGTCATGTCTGTACAATTATTTGGTATTGACAGACTAATGAGCATTAGCTCTTAGCTTGTAATTAGCTGATATAATAAGAGAGAGGTACAGCCTGGAGAGCTGGTCTCACTACACGACTTTAGGGTATCGTGCCGGGCTGTGAACTGGTGAAAACTGGGCTGTACTCTCTTGAGTCTGGTGGTTGGAGATAAACCACCATTCAACACAGACATTATCTAAACAGTCTACCCACACACTGAGGGTTGAGTCTGTCCACCCTCAGAGGTGTGACACAAGAAATGCTTATGTAGCTGTATGCTCAATTGTTTGGGTGATAAAATGTATATAATGAATATATGTCCTTAGCCTATATTTACAGGGGGGATATTAATGTAACAAGGGCTAATACAAGCCAGGTTTTAAGGCTGTATTAAAGGGTATAGCTGTACTAAATACAGTATCCATAATCTTTTTATTTTTTACAATATGTTTGGTATCTACAAGAGTAAAGTTGGACTTGCAAACAAGCCCCAGGAACGTAACTCGTTTGTAAGTAGAGGAGCACCTGTATTCATGAATACAAAGATAATGAATACATTTCCCTTAAGTGTGTGATTGTTTTGCAGTGATTCCCAAACTTTTTCATATAATGCCCCCCTTTTGCTTTTTACCAAACCGTCACTCTCCCCCTTTTTTAAAAGTAAATTGAACCAACTTTTAATAAATTGTGCACCTTGTACAGTTCAGTACTCATAATTATGTGTTTAATTGATTTGTCTCCTGCATATGGGGAAGATTGAAATATACTTAGAAAAAATAACATTAGATAATTTTATTGTAAAATTCCTAATAAAAAAAAAATTCAGTACTGTATATTGCATGATTTTCATGTAGCCTTGTGCCCCCCTCCCAAGGGAGGCATGCCCACCAGATTGGGAAACATTGTTTTATGGAATAAAGTTTCAAATGAGTCTTATTATGTAGTAGGTGTTGAACTATATAATAAATCTTAAATATGTTAACTTATCATCTTCAAAACAGGAAAACTCAAAGCTGAGTCGACGTAAAACAAAACGTGCGCGGCTCGTAAATGAGAAAGACATGGACGACATATTCATTAAGGAATTATGTTATGTCCGCATGCAAACAGAAATTAAAGAGCATCTTTGGAATAAAGAAGAGGATAAAAGAAGTGCATTTATTAGGGTAAGTATGTTAAACATCTTATCTTGTTCTACATACTGTATCTGTATTCATGATTGTTAATCACCTTGCCACTGAAGGGGTGTGTGAAGTACGGGTATTGAAATGACCCTGTGTGTGTGTGTGTTTCTGCACCTCTGCCAGTTTTGTTGGATATACTGTACAATAAGCACTGAACATATTAAGGGGTTGAAATTCCCGACAAATGAAGTTCAAAAGTCATATTTTTCCCATTAACTTTGGAACTAAAAATTGTAGATAGAGGACTTGTTTCATCAGATACCTCAACGAAAGTCACATAAACAGTTCACTTATGCTTTTATCCAACATGCTTGGGACCTGGGGCTTACCAGATAGGATATTTTTCCAGAATTTGGAATGTCATGCCTAAAATGTACAGTAAACCCTCTGTAATTGGCTGTGAAGCCTCTGTTCAAATCACTCGATTCATCCCTAAAAGTAGCTTTACCTGTTACTGTACTTTGTAACATTAAAACTTCAAATTACTATACTGTATGAGCATATAAACAGCATTAATTAAAGCATAAAAAGTGCAAAAAGGATACAAGTCTGTGTGCATACTGCATTGCAATTGGGATGCTGGCCGCCTTGACACTTGCCTTAGCAACTAACCCAGCTGTGGACTCTACCTGGCTGGCTTCCTAGTGTATTGGTGCTCTGCTCCACGGACCCTTTGACCTCCACACATTCGCCACACAGCTTCACATTGGAAACCCTTAGATACTATAGGAAAATTTTCGATAGAAGATAAATGCTTTCTTACCCAGTGAAAGACCCAAATATGGGAAGGAATAAGTTCATCATAATACAGTATTATTTTAGTGTTTTTTTTTCCATCATGATAGACGACAAGAAATGCAAAATTCCTTCCAAGAATGTTATTGAGTTACTAGTTGTATTATTAATTCTTTGTAAAACAGTGAAGGTTGTCAGGCATAGCACCTACACAACAGAAATAAACAATAACAGTTGGTAGTCATTGTCATTGATGTAACATTTAGCTTAGTGTAAGTTATAAAACAATATCTTGATGAACAGAGCATGACTAAGATATTGTTCCTTGATAATTGAAATTTATTTTATCATCTACAGTATATACTCTATTTTATGTAGTGGTAGTGACTGCGTGGATATCATTCTGAACATAAGCATGGCTGAGAACTACAATGCAATAGTTCCAATATTTATGTCTGGGACATCAATTTAAGCCATTGAAAAAAAATCATAGAAATTTTAAGAAAACCTTAGTCCTTCCCATTTTAGGGCTTTTCAAGAAATACGAATGGTTTTATATTCTCTAGAAAAATTTCCTCAAATTACTAGTTAACGTACACAACTGCCTCCCAGTATTACTGCTGATTCTGTGGGTTGCTGGGTCAGCCAGATCGCTGTGATGTATTGTGCTATTTTCTTATAATTTTTGTGAAATTACGTTATTGTTTTCGTACAGTTTTCTTTATTTTTCTCTGGTGTAGCAGAACACTGTATACATTTTTGGTTTGTTTTTAGTAAGTAAATAAACCTTTTAAATGTTGTTAGTGTGTTTTTGTGACCTGCAGTCTTCAACCCTTTAGTTTTAATTAAATTACGTCTTATATCATGACTTAATTATTTTGTGAATGTTCTTGGTCACTATCTTGTGAAATACTCTGAGGCTACTGTAGTTTTCTGCCTTTAGTGATCACTTTATAATTTTTACCATTGCTGTGAATTACAAAATGTTTTGGATAGATGATTAGTTTGGAAAGTTTTCTTGTTTGAGTAACACCTTGAAAGTGACTTATCATCTGTAAAGCTATCTTATGTTTCATGTGTTTATCCTTAATTATTTCCAGGCAAAAACAAATGATCAGTTGAAGGAGTGTCAGTGTTGCTACGATGATGAAGTGTTGGCAGATGATATGGACACATGTAGTGCCCCAGGCACCGAGCACATTTTTTGTATTAACTGTATCAGAAGGTAAGTAAGTTTGGGTTATTTTCTTTTAACTGTATTTAGAAGCAAATACTGTAAATGTGACTGGTGTCATAAAATATTGAATATATTTTTGTATCAGATTTATTTACAATGAAATTCGTATTGAATCACAAAACCTGAAAACAAGTGGTCCTCACTTAATGTCGCCCCAATTACTGTTGGTTTGTTGTGTGTCTTCAATTATAAAAAAATAGAAAATTGACTACACCAAGTCCTTGTTAACTGTAAGGGATAGGGATGAGAAATGGTAACAGGTAGCAAAATGGCCATTTACCATACTATATAAAGTACAGGTACTGTAAATTTACTTGGAGGTTCTGCCATAAGGTGTTCTAGGCGATAATCCTTCATGTCTTTTGTTTTTTGCTAATGGCCATAAAATGTGATTTATACTTCAAAATGTTTTCAGGTTTGCAGAGGAGGAAATAGGCCAAGGTCGAACAACTTTTCGGTGTTTGGAAGGTGACTGTAAAGCAGAATTTTCTTTAAGTACACTTAAAAGAATTATGAAGCCTGCAGTTTTTTCCAATATCCTAGAACGGAAACAACTCGAAGAGATAGCAGCAGCAGGCATTGAGGACCTCGTAGCTTGTCCATTTTGTAACTTCCAAACCATAATGCCCAACCAAGAGGACAAAGTATTCAAATGCCTCAACCCAGAATGTATGAAGGATTCTTGCAGGTACTAACATATGCCACTGTGTTCATCAGTCTTTATAATGAAAAGGAAATATCTGCATTAGCTGATTATATCTAAGAGAATTACTACTGGTACAGTATATCCAGCCTCTGTGAATTACTATATTCTGCCAGAGAATTTTTATATCCTGCCACTGAGAATTATTATATCCTGCCACTGATAATTACTATATCCTGCCACACATAATATTAAATGGGCAGTATTTTATTTATATTTTTTATTGATGATTTTTAAAGTAATAGGCAGGGTTAATTATACTCAACTAAACATTTGCAACAGATGGTTAGGCTTTTAGGAATTTGATATATGCTAGTAAGTGGACTTGTGGTGTACTGGGGTATATTCTGGAATAATTAAAATTTTAAATAAGGTACATACCCTGTATATACACAGTACATGTAAGTAGACTCCTTCATATTTTTTTTATTGCCAACTTTCTCTCTCAGAATGTGCAAAGAACCAAACCATGTCCCATTACGGTGTGAAGAAGTTGAAAAACAACATCAGAAAGATGCTCGAACCTATATGGAGAATCGTATGACAGAGGCAATGGTCAGGTGAGTCACTGAGACAGGATTGTAAATAGTTTTTATAGAACCTGACAATTTAATATGCTTAGTGAATTGTTAGGAAGCATTATGAGTGTACAGTACTGTATGTGGATGTGAAATATTCACTGTATGAACTGCTTATGAAAGCTTTGAATATACCGTATGTACAGGTACCTGTACTGTATGTGTGGATATCTCTAATTTGTCTTAGCTTTCCTGTCAATTTCTTTGAGATTTCCTTACACATTGATCCTCCCCTTACAAAAGTGGAAGAGGATTAAAATAGTAGATGTAGTATTATCTTTATACCTTCACTTTAGTCTTAGGTGAATTATAGGGTTCAGAAACCTTAAGGATGGAGGAAGTAACAAGGAAAAGTGTCAACAATGTAGGAAGTAACAGGAAAGGGCAAAGATGACTGCTAGAAACAACCCTTTCCTCAAATTGCATACCCCTACTGCATGCAAAGTGAATCCTTAGCTTTCCCATTGATTCAGAGAATCTCATATCAATTCATAGTACTGTACATGCAAAGTTGAGTTGTCACGATATTGAGGTAACAATGTTATGTACAAGATATTTACTGCTGGTAAGATCAGTCAATCAATCAATAAAAGTACCGTCCTCATATCCGAGGGTTGGCAACCACATTCCTCCACTCTAAACGTTCTCAGGCTGTTTTTACCAATCCTCTTTTTGGGAACCCACTTTTTAATTTCTTTAATCCACCCCAGTCACTGACTACATTAAAGGTAAGTTCACAGTAACACTTTATTAATTTTTCATTATTGATTACTTTTACTGTACTGTACGGTATTTCATTTTAGAATTTCTATATTATTTTTCGCTTTTTCGATTTATGACCAATTCGACTTACGACCTGGTTGTCGGGATGGAACCCCGTCGTAAGTCGAGGAGAGATGTATTGTGATGATTTTGTAATTATTTTTTCTCAAACGAGCACTGACAAGTGATAAATTTGCTGAGCTGGCGAGAGATTTTGGGTGGGTTGGCTCGCACAAGTGTGAAACCCAAGCGTAAGGGCTGTTCAGGGGATCAGATGCGTATAAGCAGGGCCGCGTACTATGGATACGTGTATAAACCCTCGAAGATCTGGACCCGGGAAATCAGGATTTCGGAAGATTTGGATTACAAATTTGGGGGTTCTGGGCTCAGAAGCCTCCCTAAGAAGCATTCCCAAAACAGGGTGAAAGTTTTTATCTTATAAAATGTCACAGACTGAAGTTAGCATAATATAAATTACATTGCTGGAATCTTTGCAAGACAGTGAATATATTTTGCATAAGATAAAAATATTTTAGACAGTGTAGTACATTTGAGTACAAATGAGTAATAGTTTGCTCGAAATCATGGCTTTTTCACAGGAAAAAGTGTGTATAACTAACCCCAGTAGTTAGGATAATATGTACTGTATTTTTGGTGTTTTTTATATCATTATTTATCGTTTTAATACATTAGTACATCCGCCGGAAGATTCGGACAATCGGCTTTTCCGGACAGGTGGTCCCCCCTTTTAGTCCGGATCTTCGAGGGTTCACTGTACTTTGTAACCCTCCTGTACTTGCATTTTATAAACACTTATAAGGATTATGACGGAAAAAAATTAAATCTGTTATATATATTACTGTAAAACAAAACTGGAGTCATACAAAAGTTGATTTATTGCAGAGAATGTTGGAAGTGCAAGAAGAGATTCATCAAAGAGGACGGGTGTAATAAAATGCGCTGTTCATGTGGAGCAATGATGTGTTACATATGCAAGAAACAAATTAAAGGCTATGATCACTTTGAAGATAAGCCAGTTCCAACAGATCCAAGGAAGTAAGTATCTTTTAACATGAAGTGAATAAGTTCATGGGATGTAGGAAGATTGACTAAACTTAAATAAATTTATGGGTTGTACAAGTATGGCCATGATAGTGCATCACTTGATTTGGGAAATTTTACTAAAAATAGTCAAGATGCATGAACAAAATATTAACATTTGTTATATAAGTTCAAAGGATTTAAGAAGAGAGTTTGAAATACAGCGAGTTAGTTCCTTGGATATGGGAAGAACCTTGCTGTATAATGGAGTAATTGAGAAAGGAGCAAGTATGGACGAAATTGAGATGGGATTAAATGTTATTGAGAAGCGTGGAGGCAATGTGAGCTGTACAAGAGGGTAGCAAGTTTGGAGGAAATTAAAATAAATTGAAGTGTGTGTGTGGAGGTGAGTAAAGGTAGAGGAACGTGAGGTGTGGTATGATAAGGCAATGTGGGATGGGCGAGAGAGGAGTATGTATGGCAGAAGATAAGTTGTGTTGGGCGAATAGAAAGGGAGCAGGTGTTTGTGGGATGGCTGGAGGAAACTGTATGTATTATTCCATTATATTCTGGATATGTATTAGTCATTTATTTGTTTTTCATTGTTTTATTTGTAGGTGTCCCCTCTGGAGCAACTCAGAAAAGATTCATGCAGAAGAAGTGAGGGACATTGCAGACAAGTTGAAGCAGGAGATGGAGCCCGGGTTAGAGCTTGTACATAATCCTCTAAATGATCTGCCTGAGGTAGGAATCCACTGGTCTGTTTTTACTTTTATGTCATTACCATTATGGCTGGAAGCAAATTGTCAATTGTGCCCATCTATATTTATGCAAGTATTAAGTTTGTATGCAAGTATAAAGTTTGTATGCAAGTATTAAGTTTGTGTGTGTGGATCAGATTTCGTCTCTTCATCTGCATCATATGAAGATTTTTACGTGCGATTTCAAGAAGTATACGTTGGTCGTATGCACACACATTCCAAAGCTTGGAATCTCCGTTAATTTGCCTCTTTGTGGTAGATTGATTTGAATTTTGCCTGGTTTGTATTCTTATCATATTAAGAGCTGAATAGTGTAAAGTTATTGTCCTGTGATTTTCAAATGTGCAAGATGTTTAAATGGTAATCATTGGGTCATAATCATATACAGTACAGTATCATAGATCTTGAATTTTTCACTAGTTAATTGGTTTGAGAGATTATTAACCCTTAAGCCTCGGGTTAGGGTGCTGCTAGCAGTACCCCCTCCCCCTCCTGCGGCGATAAATCGAGAAAAAAATCAACTTTTCAAAAAAATTAAAATAAATAAATAAATAAATAAATAAAGTAAATTGGTGGGAAAATAGGGGGACATTCTGGAATGTCACCTGGGTCCTAAAGGTAAAAAAAAGGGGGGGGGGAAATACAGTCTCTCCTCGACTTACGACATACAGTATTCGACTTACGACAACCAGGACATACGACGGCCGTGGTCGTATAAGATATTTTTCACATTACAGGTACTCCTTGACTTAAGACCACCTGGACAGCGACCGCCCGGACATACGACCGCCGCAATCGTATAAATTTTTTTTCAAATTATGTATTTTCAAGTCCCTACGTTAGTGATTACGCTGTGTACTGACAAAATTTTCGTTTATAATTCCCTTTAAAATAGCTGGCAAGCATAAAAGTGAGAGTTCTCGTGGTGCTGAGAAGAAAAAAGAGACACCCATTTTAGAGTTTCTATGTATTATTTTCGCATTTTCGACTTAGGACCAATTCGATTTACGACCTGGTTGTCGGGACGGAACCCTGTTGAAGTCGAGGAGAGACTATAATTACAGGTTGAGAATCCCTTATTTGAAATCCTTGGGGCCAAATGTATCATGGATTCTGGATTTTTTTATTGTTATTATTTTTTTAATTTTGGCATAATATTTGAGCTATACCCCTCTAGGTAAGTGGTAGCTCACTATAGGGGGTCTAGGCTGGTCTAATTATCAAGTGCATTTTTTTTGTTTTAAAGTATTTTAACCTGCAAATTGAAACATACAGACTACAACTAAATATCTGAGTAATAATTTATCATAACCTCTATACAGTGTACTATATCAATGAATCAGAGTACAGTCCTCATATCTGAGGTTTGGTGACCACAGTCCTCCACTCTAAACTTGTACGAGCTGTTTTTACCAATCCTCCAAGGTTTTGTAACTCTTTCTGGGAATCCAATTTGTAATTTCATTCATCTATCCTAATAACTGCCTTCCCCTGGTCCTCCTACCCTTAACTTTGTGCATTAATATTTCTGTTATTGTCTCCTAATCCTTAATTATATGACCAGAGTTTCTAGTTTTCTTTTTCTGTACATTTCAATTATTTCTCTAGAAGTTTTTTGCGAATCTCTGCACCCTATACCAGGGTATCAATGATAATTCTGTGTAGCTGATTTATAAGATCAGTTACAGCAGCACACCAGTTGTTTACAAACACTGAATAACAGGATATTTAATTAGACATTAAATATGTCTAATGTTTCATTTCTTAGAGAATCATCAGTATTTTTAATTCTGCATGTTTCATTACATAAGTGTTCAAAGGTTTAAGGAATATGAAAAAAAGAGTTGATCAGCTGATGGAAATACACCGGTAGTTTTCCTTGCTTTCACTTGATGACAGGACGGGCAGGCACATCGTCTGCAAAGTCTCAGAGGCCAGCAAGCCCACCACTACTCCATGACTTAAGCATGACTTGAGTTACCTTAAGTCTGAACAATTGTACAGTAGTCCAGGAAATAGCTGTCCAGACTCAAGCAGAGTTATAATTTGTTAAGAAGTGTTTTGAAATGATGGAATTACTGTAATGTTAAAATGGGAAAAAGTGAGTGTTGTCTTGAGAATTGTTTACTATATTCTATTCCTCAATTTTTCTTTCTCCAACTTATTGTCAGTTCTGTAGCTTATACTCATCACATTTAGTCTAAAAACATTAAATATGGCTTTAATTTTTATTTCTTAGAGAAGCGTTGAATGTTTTTAATACTCTTTCTCATTAACCCGTACTGGTGTGCTATTACATACCTAAATTGCGCTCGGATGTAAGTAAGCCATACATATCTCTGCCCTCTGTACTTCTATTCTTAAATCCATGCTGATAAAAAATAAAACTATTAGTGATTCCACAGCAGGTGTGTGCAAAATTCCATGTAAGGATTGTGACAGTTTATGTTGGCCTGACAGGCAGGACCTTAGAAAACTCACATTAAAGAACATAATTATACCTGTAAGGCGGAATATTAACAAAGCAGTATTTGTTCATGCCTTTAAGAATAACCATACAGTAGACTGGAATGCAAGCCAATTGTTTTACAAATGCAATCATTTTAAGAAATGTAGGATAGTAGAATCAGTTTAATCCTCAGTGACCAAGAACCACCTTTCCCTAGATTCCTCCTGACCGCTACCACTGTGAGTGGCTGTAGCCGGTGCCAACTGATAATTCACTATTATTGTGTGTGTGAGAGGTGCTAGATATAATAGCAAGGTGGTTTAGCGCTGGTGGCTGGGCCTGGCTGACCAATTTAGGTCAAACTCTCATGATATTGAGATCACAGAAGAACCGTGTGTACCTAAAGTTGAGTCATTATGGAATAGTAACTGTAAATATTATTTATGGCTACTATTTACTGAAAAATATTGTGAGTTAAAAATTACTGCTACAGTTGATTTCATGTACAGTGGTCCCTCAGTTAACGAACGGTTCGATTAACGAAATTTCGGTTAACGAACAAGGATCTTCAATTCGGTTAACGAACAAAACTTTGATTAACGAAATCCTTACAAACAACATATTTTGTTGTGAGCATCAGCTGATGGGCTAGTCTGCCAATTCAGTAATCTATTCTATGTTTACATTCGTTTCCAGTGGAGTAAATATCAAGAAATTTGTGCTCTTTAATATTTTTGCATTTTATATATTAAAATTATTAGTCATTTTAAAATTTAGTTAACATATTGATAATATATGAAGTACAAGGAACTAGTTTTTTGTGCGCTCATCAGCCGCTTGACTCAGCCACCAGGCGTCAGTTTGGCTTTGTTGACAGTGGAGTGAACATCCATTTTGTTGGTGTCTTGAATATTTTTGCATTTTTACATTGAAATTATTGGTCATTCTGAAATTTAGTTAACATATTGATAATACTGTATATAGCGCAGTGCAGTGTTGATTTAAATAAAATAATCTTGAATTACACCTAGTGAACTTAAAATTTTATTGCTGAAATTACTGCATCGAGCATGGGTCCACTGAAAGGTGATTTCTCCTCCATCCCCACTTCCTTCTCTTCTCCCTTCTCCTCCACCCCCAGTTCTAATTCCCATCATCATCATCAACCAGGAACCTTCTACATACACACCTCAAAGTAAGTACTGCACTGCATTTTTTTTTACTTTGTATGTACCTTTCTGTGAGCTGGAACCAATTACCCAATATCCCATTGAAACAATGGATTCGGTTAACGAAATTTTCAGTTAACGAACGATTCTGTGGAACGAATTGTGTTCGTTAACCGAGGGACCAATGTATATTAATACTGTACCAAGCATGCCACTCAAAAAACCAAGTTGCGGTGGAAATGTGAGAAAAGCTGCAGTAGTCGCTGTTGGGGCAGTATACTGTAGTGACAAACTTTGTGCGAAAAGGGGCAGCTTGATATATATGTGATGTGATAAGGCTTAATAATAGTCATGATGGACCAGGAAAGATTGGTACAGACTTGAACTTGCCGTATCTACTGTTCTCAACACAGGTAAATAAGTCTCAATTTATGCTTTACATTTCTTATTTAATGCATACTATGCTTGCTTTATTTGAATGCTTTATTTTCTTGCTTGACGATGTACATGACTGAGATTTATCAAGGGTAGATGGGAGCTTTTGGGGGGGGGGGGGGCTGCAGTCCCTAACCCCCTGAATTTGTTATATTATTATGGGATTAATTACTTCGATACCGTTGATTCACTAACTATTGACTTTTTACATTCCCTATATGCGTCGGTTATTGGGGTATGCCTGTACTGTATTTAAAGAAAATGTGAATATTTTCAAAGCCAAAATTGTGACTGATTTCTGTTTCTGTACTTATTTTCTTGAGACTTTATTTCCGTTCATCCCCTCATAAAATCCTGGATCCGTCACTGAAATATGGAGTACTGTATGTGAATAAGCAAAGAATGCTCTTTAATGGTTTTCAATATATAAGCTATCAGATATGATCGTTTTATTACATAGTATGTAAACGATGTAGTAAACGTCAAGATTTAATCGACATGTACAGTATATGTTTAAAAGTGTATAGTATTTTTATTACAGGAGTGCTTCGATTTTATGAAGGGAGACACATTCATACAAAAAAAGTTCAACAAATGTAAAAATACTTGTGTATTCATTATAATAACATTAGTGAAGCAGTACAGTATTGTATCAAGTTTATTCAATCCTTGTTAGAATATATTCTACTTATGGGAAACTGTAGGTGGTCGGTGTTTAGGGTGTAGCCACCTTCATTATCAAATTCCTCTCCCTGTTGTGTGGGGCCTATAAAACTCAGAACAATTGATGGAACATTCATGGCTATTATCGAGATTATCGGGTGTGACATCACCATCAAATTCCCCCTCCTGTTGTGGTCATTGTCATGTTCTTGTTGTATGCACATGACATAGGTAAAGATATCAATTTCTTCCTCCACATCAGTATAA